CGGGCTTCCGGCAGGTAGATTTTTGGGAGAAAATCCCCACTCCTGTATGATCTAAAGATTTTTTTTATTTAACAAAGTATAGTGATACAATGAGATCTTTACGTATATGTTGTGACGTTATTTTTTGTGATTGACGTCACAATTGCACCACTCGCAACTAAACTTTTGAGTCATTCTATTTTTGAGTTTCGCTATAAATAAAAATTTAATGTTTATCGCGGGCTTGGGTATTGGAAAAGTCACTTAGTAGTATTAGTAACTCAGAATTCTGGGAGAAGTAAGGTAGGAAAAGGTTTTTGATTGTTTTAAATTAAAGAAAATCGTTGCGTCATCTAGTGTCAATTTAGAGTGAATTGAGAATTTTAGTTTTAAAACTCTCTCTTGCCATCCAACCCCCATCGAGTCAACATGTTTAATTTTCAATAGTCTTTCGATCATGTGTTTCAAGTTACAGTCGTTTGTAGTTACAGTCATATTAATAAAATTTAAATTAACTCTAATAAAACATTATTAAAGTCTAACAACAATAAGTTCAATTTACTTCAAACTATTTGCAATAACTCGTTTTTCTACCATAAATCTTCATTATTCAACTTAAAAATTGTTATTACCATTGCTATTAAAATAATAAATAAAGTTTCGTAAGAGCGGTTGAAATTGTCATAAGGAAGTTAATCAATGTCAATGATTTATTTAATAAAATGTAACGTTTCTTTTATTTCTAAATTTTGTTTATGAATTATTTATTGTTATCATGAACTCTCTTATTATAAAAACCCATCCCTCTCTCCACGATCTGCATAACTGACTAGCACCGGCACGTGCAGAAGACTTAATTAATAATTTTTATTGGTCGATCTTAATTAGTATTTTATTAATTATAAATTTGAGATTTGTTTACTTGAGATTTAGATTATAATTTAGTCCGGTTGACAATACCGGCGATACAAAAGTTGTCTGGCGCCCTTCCATACCGAGGATCGTCCAGAAGAATGAAAGTTAAGTCGCACAGTAACGTTCTGGCTTATTTTGTTATTTAATTCTTTTAAGATTTGAAGTAAAATACATAAAGTTCCAAATTGAGTCTTATTGTATTAAAGTTCGAATCCAATTTCGTTTAAGTTTTGTAATTTGGTAATTAGAATATATTATAATAAAATTTAGAAGTCAATTTTAAGAGCAAGGTTAAAGTCAAAAAATACGTTACAATACAATTTATATATTTTGATTGACTCTGAATAATTATATGAAAACATTATAAAAAACTATTGAAAATGAGATAGTGGAAATTATAAAAAAAAGTTTAAAATTAATAACAAAAAATCGATTCTTTCAATCAGTTTAATTTTGTCTTTTACTAAAACTTTTAAGTCTACAGATGAACCGATTATTGAAAGTGATGCAGACGAAAGTGGAACAGATTCAGAAGATAGTTTGGGGAACAATTTTGATGCGATTCATGAAGAGGAGGTTGATTTTTATATTCAAGATGTTCCCGAACCAGAAATTCAACAACTGCAGGAACGGGCAGTTGAATCAAAAATAAATCAAAGTCAATTAGATGATGTATTAAAAATATTGCGACCAAGATTGCTTCCAGATCTTCCGAAATCTGCAAAAACATTTTTAGGAACTTCTGGTGCGAAGTACAATATTATTCAAATGGAAGATGCCAATGGATCAATGGGTGAATTTGTTTATTTTGGGATAGAATCTGGTCTGAAACAATGCGTTAACCCTGAAATTCATGAAAGTGATGTAATAGAATTACAAATAGGTTGTAATGGACTTCCATTAGTAGATTCTGGACATCAAGTACTTTGGCCACTTATCTGTAAATTCATTTTAACCCTGATATCTACGAGCCTTTTGCTATTGCGGTTTATTCCGGTGAATCGAAACCAAACTCCGTTGAGGCTTATTTCTTATTTTGTCAAATGGAATTATCATTGAAGAGAGGCTCTTTAAGGTAGTAATTAAGTGTTTCATTTGCGACACACCGGCGCGTGCTTTCTAAAGTGTACCATTGGTCATACGGGTCTTAATGCTTGTGAGAGGTGCACTGTTGATGGATTTAAAGTAGGTGGAACAACCATCTATCCGTCTACAGATGCATCTTTCAGAGCAAGAACACAACCTGGTCATCATAACAGTCAGACTCCGTTGATAAACATATGTCCATTTTTAAACATGTTTCTGTGCTTTGTCTTAGACTTTATGCACCTATATTGCCAAGGCGTAATAAAAAGATTACTTAAAGCGCTGCTTGAGAAAGGTCAATACAAATTAAGTCGAGATCTACGAAATGAATTAGCGAGAAGGATGAAAATGTTAAAACCACAAACTCTGTGCGATTTTCAAAAAAAAACTAGATCAACATATTCGTTTTTGAAATGGAAAGCCACGGAATTTCGTTTTTTCTGCTGTATTGCGGACCAGTAGTTTTTAAAAAAGTCTTGGACTCGAAGCGTTACGATCACTTTTTTGAGGTATGAGAAAATTTTATGGAAACAGATCAATGGTTTTGAATGCACATCACTTAATTCATCTTGCTCAAGATGTAAAAACGGTAAATTGCAGTCTAAGTAGAGTTACAGCCTTCCCCTTTGAAAGCTTTCTTGGCAAACTGAAGAAATATATAAGAACACCTAATAAATCATTGTCTCAATTGTGCAGGCGTTTACATGAAAGGCAGTATATTAATCGGCGTAAAGTGGTATTTAACACTAAATTAAAAGCACTGTATGATAATTATAGAAAATCTAACAGGAAGAAATCCATGGAAAAAATCGGTTTGCTGGCATCGTTTGGATACACTGAGGGTCTGAGGGAGTCTATGCTTACATCACATAAACCTTCGTATTTTGATTTTAAATGGGAACAAATAAATCAGATCAGCTCCATTGACATGCCACTCGGACAGTCGCTCGAGGATGGAGACGACTTGAACGGGAAGCTGGATGCATATGTTTGTGATTATGGGCAAAACTGTACATGTGTGTACACGGATGCATCTCAGATTCCTTCTACCGGTGGATCTGCAATATCCTTTTATATTCCTTCAAGTGGTATGGTCTCAGGACGTCCTCTCTACACTCCATTTTATCTTTGGAGTTTCTGGCTATATCAGCCTCCTACAATATGCCATTTCTGAAAAGCTTAAGAATTTGCTAATTTTTACTGAATCTAAATCGACCGTAAAACAACTGTCTACACCTATATATGAAAGGCATAAAGCTTCTATACATTTAATATCAATAGTTAAACTTATCCACAGATACCATTCAGGAAATCTTGGGGAAGTTACCTTTATATGGATACCAGGGCATAAGGGGATAGTGAGCAACGAAATTGCAGATGAGATTGCTAAAATCGCTACAGACCTACCATATGTCTATCGTAATAAAATAGCATATCAGGATTTAAAAAGAATAATCAGGGAAGATCACAAGGATTGGAAGAATTTGTGCTGGCCGAATGAGCCGATTTCACAGACTAATAATATTTATTACCAATACATTAATGTTAAATGCGAATAACATCTTTAAGAACTGGTCATATGCGTATTATGGAACATTCATATAAGTTTAACTGGGGAAGACAATATGGTTGCAAATGTGGGTACCCTGATTTCACACTCAGATACCTCCTGTGCGATTGCGCACTCTTCTCTAGAGGTAGAAAAAGAATGTTAGCTTTCCTCGATGGGGTTAATTCTGATACTAATGACCCAGTCATTAATATTAGACGGGCGGTACTCACATTGACACAGGGCATGCACATTGAGATTCCAAAATTCTTTAAACAGTCTAAGCTAATAATATGATTGGAACAAATTTTTGCGATGTCTAAATGATATTTTTGTTTTAGCTCTAGCAATTACTGCATAGCTAATTAAACTTCTCCTCTGATTCATTAATCCTTCCACAATCCAATAAACAAATAATACTATCCATGGAAGACCAAATAAAATTATAAAATAATTAAATTAAGTTACAAATTGAAGGTGGAGGAAGAAGAGAAAGAAAAAAACAACTAATAAGAAATAAACAGAACAAATTAAGCATTATTATTGTCAAGAGTCATGTATGCCGACTATCCTGATGCGCATGAATTCTATGCATCCAACGTTCATAATACTAGTACAGATCCCATCTCAACCACCAACATTCGAAGTACGGGTCGACGCTCACTCAGTATGCACAATTTGAACGCACTCTATGACTACAACTTATACATTTAATTCAGCCAATAGAAACTATTTCACACAAGTAATTTAGAAAGTATATCTCTTTATATCTTAAATAAAGTCATAGATATTTGACCTACGGGGACAACAGGCCACTAAACAAAACCAAACCAACCAAAATTTCAGATATCTCCCGATACGTTATCAACTTTCTTCTCTAGGGAGGAAAATTGATGACTTAGGTAGTTTTCAACAGAAGAGCGTTGTGAAAAATTATTTAAATATTTGGGAACGGTGGTCTAGTAACAATCTAGTAATTTTGACCCATTCTCTCCCTCCATTTTGTTTTTTCTACTCTTTCTAAACCAATTAATGGAAGAGAGACAAAGAAAGAAAATGGAGGGAGAGAATGGGTCCCCACCAGATGGCGTATTGCAGTTTAGCCGATCCCAATCATTTTCCAACTATAACAACTGTTTTTTTTTTAAAAAGAATAAAAAAACTTTAAAAGTATAAAAATTATTATTAAATGTATGTAATATTTTTACTTTTAAAAAGTCAAATTAAATAAAATTATTAATTCACAATGATTTCAAGGATAAGAATATTCTTGACGTTCGCGAACTAAAAAAAATAATTGAAATGAAAAACGCTATATAAATAAAATGGAAATTAGAATTAATACATTAAAAGAATAAGGCGCTAATATTGTAAATATAAAATTATTAATATTTATAATCATACAGAATACAAAGGGTGACAAAATAATTGCGAGCAAAGCAAGCAATATTATGTATTTGAAAAAAATATATGCATTTTTAGGGTTTATTAATTAAATTTACTTCATATCTACATATAATACATCCTTTGGAAGTCACATTTTTAAGGCACTTTTGTAATGCTGCAATAATTTCCTTTTACATTTAAATCAGTGATTATTGTTCGTAATGAGTAAACATTTATAATATTACATTTAAGGGAATAAAAACTTTCATGATACTACTATCATAAATGGGGGGGGAAAAATGCTACTGTTAATCTACAACAGCGTTAGTGGACGTATTTTCCATTATACAGAATTGTATTTATTAATTATAAATAATAAAATCCCTAATTTTCTTTCTCTAGATACTTTGAAAATTTTTTCACAATGCATAAAAATCTTCTTAAATTGTTTATTTTTTACAGTATGAACAATCATTTAATTTAAAGGCACGTAGATAGGCGAGAATATAATAATAATTTATAATTCATTTACATTTTTTTTTGTTTAAAAAAGAAAAAAACATTTTTTTCCTTATTGTCTCAGTAAAAAGTCATTGTTGCATAGAGTCAAAAAAAAAGAAAAAAAAATTGAGGCGCATATTATAATTCACTTTTTGTGAGGGAAATCGGCATTAATTGCAGACCAGCTGCTTTTATTATTATATCCCTCGTTGTTTAGTATTTCGAAGTAGAGTATAAAAAATATGTTTTAAATTTTGATACATATATATGAAGTTAAAAACTACAATTTGAATGAATGTTATTAAATATTTAACTAATATATTTAAAAACTGAAAATAATGTGCTTTCTATAAGTATCCTATTCTGTACACAACAAAAATCTATTTTACAATTTTCATTAATGTTTCCTACTACGTAATAATTACCAAGAAAAAGAAAAATTTAGTTTGTTACAGAGAACGCTTTTAAAAATACGAATACGATTGTACCTTATTTTCACAATAATGCTTCACATTTAGGATTCCAGCCTCAAACTTCAAGCACACATTCATATATAATAATAATTCCAATCACACATTATCTACAATTTCATTTTGAATCATACTTATATATTAATATGTATTCATGATTTTTGTACAATCTTAAAAAAAACATTTTGAAGCTTAAGCTCTTTTTTTTGAATCATCAAATTTTTATTTTTTACTGCATATATTTACTTTCAATATGCAAAAAAATACTATATAAGTGAGCTTTATTAAGCGAAAATTTGTGAAGTTAACCAGTTAGTTTTTTTTTTATGATAGTAGACCTTTTTTCCGTTCAAAACAATAAATAAATTAAAAAATGCAAATTCGAATTTTCGTAATTACATTGTAATTAAAATGATTCTAAATAAATATAAATAATTCTAATAATTTAAAACTACTGAAAAATGGTTGGCATACTTCACAAATTTGAACTCTAATGTCAATTGACAATATTTATTGTCTACATACAAGACTGGAGTTAATTTCTCCTTGTTCCTTTTCCTTTTTTTTTTTTATTACTTTTTACATTATTACATTTTAAGCATCATACGGACTTGCATGGCACCTAATTTGAAATTTATAATATTTTTGAAAGTACACTTTGCCATTGTTTAAAGAAAAAGATTATATATGCTTATAAACTTTTTGTTAAATCAGCAGCACCACACTTTTAAATTGTAAGCAGCATCCCACTTTACCCCTGAGCTATCATTTTTTTTTTTAATTACATTCTAAAAATAATCGTCAGTAAACATTGTCTAAATCTCAAATATCGTTTAGAAGACTAGTCTTGGAACTTCACTGAATTCATTTTCTCCTGTTACACATTTTTCTTTTTTTCATTTCAAAAATTATTTTCAAACCTCAACACCTAAAACTCTATCGACAACATATTCATAACGTTTAGGTTCATCTCCTGACAATTCTTCGGATTCGGGATTCTTATCAATTTGATCATTTTCCGACTCTGGAATTGATGATTTGTCTTTTTCAATCGCTATAATACTAATATTTTTTGTTGATGTTGATGCTGTTGTTGTAACTGTGCTCGTTTGTGTAACACTAAATGTTTTTGGATTATTATTTGCGCTAGATAAATTTGATGATAAACAATTTTGTGTACTGTTACATTGAATGTCAACTTTTCCTATGCCTACAATTGATTGATGATTTATTGGTTCAGATGCATGTCTTCTGTGTGATATCGTTGGTAGAGATGGAAAAACTCCAATACTTTCATTTGGAATATCGTCAGGAGAAAATACAGGTACTTTTAAGTTCACGCGAGTGAAAAATGCCATCTTCTCTCTAAAAAAAAAAGAACAAAGAAAAAAATGATTAATATTTTAGTTCTAAATAATCTTCAATTAAAAAAAAGAACTAATACATACTTAAAAGAAATTATATCCGGTTTTCCATTTCCAGCTTTTGTTTTTCTCAATTTGTAAATTTCTTTTGAAGTCTTTTTAAACATTTTCTCAACTTTTCTTTCCTCGGCATTTTTACCATTACGTCCACATTCTGCTTGTTCCATTAACATTTGAAATTTTTGATCCTCCAATAGCCATGAAACTAAATCAGTGTCACCTTTTTCACGTGCTTGCTCCAATCTCTGCTTTATGCTTCTAAGTCTATTTAATTCATCCTGAAGATTATTTAATCTGGCATTTTGAGCTTGAAGATCAAGTTCAAGATCCAATGATGTTCTCACAGCCGGTGGTAAATGAGTTGATTTTTTTGATGCAGATTTACAACTAATGGCAGATGATGAACGACGCCATCTTAAAGATCTTCGTTCAACGGAATTTCGTTGAAATGGCCCACCTCTCCTGTACAGTGGCATACTACTATCACTGTCACTACGATTGAGCTGAAATTTTTTTTATATCTTTATTTATACCATGAGAATTCAAAATATTTTTTAATATTAATTTTTTTAAATACAGTTTAATAAATTATTATTTTTTTCCCCCTTTTAATTATACTTACTCGACAAATATACTGATTTCTGTTTACCGCTGCGCTAGGTGAAAAAGTTTGACTTCTTTTGATAACGATAGAATTTTTATCACTATTAATAACACCAGGTACAACTCCAGCCGCTGAAAGTTTTCTCTGTTTCCCCTGTTCTGGTATAAAAATGCATTCCGTATTTGTTTCTTTGTCCAGTGTTTGATTAATTTCATCAAGATGTTCTTCATTCTCATCCTGAAATGAGCAAACACAATGAAATAATTATAAAATAAATGAAAATCAAAGAATTTTATTTTTTTTTATTTCCCACAAACATACCTCATGTTCCAATACATCTTCAAGAACATTTTCCTCCATAAATTCAACCATAATTCCTTCTTCATCACTATTTTCGCTTCCACTTTCACTACTACTGCTACTGCTACCCTCATCGCTATTTTCAACTTCGTCTTCTTCATCTTGAGTTTTTAGACAATTAGTCAATTCCTCAAGTTTTAGAGAAACTGCAGTTTGCAATTCATTACATCCTTGATTTCTTGTCAATGTTGAAGTTTGTGAACTAATAATAGTACTTTCGTCGCTACTTTCTTCTTTTGTATTTTGTGATTGTATACCACGATACATTGATAAATCAGATTCCTGTTTATCATGTTTGCCTTGTTTAAATCCAGAAAAAACATTACTACATGTACTGACATTTATACAATCTGCAGTTGATGATGGTTGCATAAAGTGGAATGAGAGTATATTGTACCATTTTACACTGAGCATTTCAGGACTAAAATCAGCTAGAGAGACTTGAGCTGACCCCTGTAATTAAAATTAGTTTTTTTACATGAAATAACAAAATCACTCATAAGAAAGAAATAAAAAAACAATTTTATTAATTTTAATAAATTGATTTTTCTTTACAAATTTTTTTAATAAACACTACTATTGTATTTTTTTATATTTTTATATGTGTAAATTGCGTCATAAATAAATTATTTTATACAATCTTTATAATCAGTAAATTTGAAACTCGTGCATTTTTTTACAGGTCACTAAAATTTGCTAAAAAAAATTCAAAAGGCTTTTTCAAAATTTAAAAAAAATTTTTAAGGTTTTTTTAAATAGAGATTTTATTACATAATTTTAAATTAATATTAAAACGTAGCTATGGGTTTGACTTAAAATATCAACAACAAAAAAACTTTTTTATGACCTAAACTACAAATAAGCGTAAAAGAAAATTTAAAATTGTCTTACAATATTCGAGAAATTTAACTATTTTTAATTTGTAATCTATTGTGATATAAATTATTTTTTGAAAAAATCATAGTTTTAACAAAAATTTCGAAATCAAATATTGGGAAAGATTTTAAAGATTTACTTTATCAAAATTTCTGTTTTTAGTTAAAAATTCGAAATGAACTGAATTAGAATATTAAAAAAAACATAACGAAAATCAAATTTAAAAAATGTAAAAAAAATTTTAAACGAAAAAATTAGAAAAAGAAAACAAAAGTATAATCCTCTGAAAGATATAATACATAATCATTGTATAAATGGAAAATTACATACCAAACACTCCTCTGATTCTCCTCCAGTGCACCAAACATTAACTTGCAATGTTTTCGTGTACAGTTTATTTAGCGGTACAGAGATAGGGAACGTTTCTCCGAAAGTTGGCTTTCGCAAATCACTAACCGGTTTCGTATAGCACATGTGATTTAAAGATGACTGCATCGGAAGTAATGCTGCTTTGATATATCTAAATTAACAAATAAAATACCCATCAATTATAATTAGAAGAACAAATAAAAAAAGGGGGAAAAATGATACTTAGAATTTATTTTATCCAATTAATAAGTATTAAATTTATTGTTATTAACAAGCTTACTATTTTAAAGGTTCAAATCAAAATTTTGAAAATTGAAAGTGAAATTACAAAATTTTGAAAATTAAATTCTAAAGATTTATCCAAATTTTATTTGAAAAAATTTAATTTTTGTGATTTATAATTTTAAAATGAACTATATATACATAAAAATAAATATATAATAATAAATATATAAAAAAAATAATATATAAAATTAAAAATGAAATTAGATACTGTTTCTAAATATAAGTTATTCTCTGAGGAAATTGGTGTTTTTAAAGCATTTTTCATGTAGTTTTTAATCCAATAATTTAAAAATTTGAGGTGGCTCTTTTCTTACAGAATACCTCGTTTATTAATTTATGTATTAAGCTACTTACACTTGTGAATTTTCAGGAATAAATAGAGCAGCCAAATTTCTTGCACGCTCAATACCAATATGAAGGAGACCATCGCTAACGGAATACCTATAATAATTGAAATTTCAAATTATTCAAACTTATCAAAGTTAATGTTAATTTTTAATTATTTAAATTTTTAAAATAATAATAATTAAATTTATTAAATCTTTTATTAAAATATTATTGAATTAAATTAATTTTGTTATTAAAATATATTTTATCTGAATGCCATTATTTTTTTTTTTTTCATTAACCTATTTTACATTAGTTTTAAAAAATCTCGTCAAATAATAATTCAGTTGAATTCTTTCAATTTTATTTTTAATAAATGCGAATAACACATATTAATTTAATTATTTAAAACACAATTTTCACAAATGGAATACAAGTATTTATTTTTAAGATGTATAGTGAAGGATTAAGCAAAACAATTTTGTAAAATTTAAACATTGTAAATAATAATAAATAATAAAAACAGGCCTCGAATCGACTTGAAGGCGCAAAAAAAGTCGTTTTAGACGACTTACATTCCAAAAAAAAGTAGATTTTTTTATTTTAATTTTTAATTAGTTAATAAGTATTTTACTTTAAATAATAAATGTTATTAAAATATTAAATTTTTTAGAAATAATTAAATTTTAGAAGATTTTAAATTGAAAAAAAGTTAAAAATTTGTTAAATAATTGAAATAAAGAAGATCTGAAGAAGATCTGCATTGTATACTAAAAAATATATATTTTGTTTAAAAATTTTGTAAAAAAAAAGTCGAAAAAGTCTCATCGTATTTAAATAAGTCAAAAAAAGTTGTATTTTCGAAAAAAAAGTAAGAATTAAAACAGATTGGATATAATGGGACTCATGATTATGTTCTAAAAATAATTAGATAGAATTTTCATTTTATGGATTTATTTTTGTGCCGAATTTTTATTTGTTCGAATTAGTATTTTGCAGAATTTTTCATCAAAACAATTTTCTATATTACAGAATTTTTATATAACCGAAAATTCACTTCACAGAATTTTTATTTGTTCGAATTTTTATTTACTCGAATTTTCATTTAACATAATAGGCATTTTAAAGAATTTTTATTACGTAGAATTTAATTGCATAAAATTTTCTATCAGATGAATTTTCATTTGTTCGAATTATTATTTCATATAATTTTAATAAAACCGATTTTTCATACTACAGAATTTTTACTTAACCGAAAAATCATTTAACAGAATTTCTAATTGATAGAATTTTCATTTGTCCGAAATTACAAATGGCCGAACAAACAATCGATTTTGGCGCGATTTTTAAAATCAACCAATCAAAAATTATCCACAACATTGTGATTAGTTGATTTTAAAAATCGCGCCAAAATCGATTGTTTGTTCGGCCATTTGTAATTTCGGACAAATGAAAATTCTATCAATTAGAAATTCTGTTAAATGATTTTTCGGTTAAGTAAAAATTCTGTAGTATGAAAAATCGATTATATGGAAATTATATCAAATAATAATTCGAACAAATGAAAATTCTTTGCAATGAAATTCTACCCAATAAAAATTCTGTGAAGTGAATTTTCGGTTACATAAAAATTCTGTAATATAGAAAATTGTTTTGATGAAAAATTCTGCAAAATACTAATTCGGCACAAAAATAATTAATGACAAATAAAATTACATAAATTGAAAATTTTAACTAATGATTTTTAAAACACAATCATGTGTTCCATTATAATATTATTTATAGAGAAAAGCAAATGAATTAATTAATATTTACCTAAGTTTAATTTGCACTTGAGCAGTTTCTAGATTAGTATCTCCAAGAATAAGTGGATCAATACCAAGTAATCCTGACATTCTTCGTCGATTTGAAGCTTCAAAAACACCGGAATCACCAGCGACACTTTCATCGGAAACTGCTGCCGAGACAGATCTTGTATTTGTTCCCGAACTACTGGCTCTAGATCTAATACCTATTGGCGGTGGTGTTTCACTAATTGGCGATAAAGGTGGTTCTTGCGTTAAATTTAATGCCGGCCTACCAAGACCACTTCCTTGTGACATATTACCCGATTGCATTTCCATATAAGGTTGTGTATTAACTTTAAGATGTTCAGTATTCGCCGAATTTAATGCCAATTGTTCTTGTATATTTTGTTGGCTCAAACGTAATTCAGCTAATTTATCTTCCAATTGATTTCGATCGAATTGTTGTGTTGTCGTATTGGAAAAGCCAATTAATCTTTGCTGTTGCTTTCTTTGTAATTCAATTTGTTCATAGGCAGGTGGCGGTCCCACTGGAGCATTTTCGTAAAGCGGTGAAACTGGTGGACTTACACTCGAAAGACTAGATCTAGGCGATAAACTTGGTTGCGATCTACCTGGCGATGGTGTACTAAGATTACCAAGATTTTGTTCTGATCCTTTCAGTAATCTTTCAACTCTTCTGTGAAGATCCACCATATCGACGGGTCTTTCCTGTTGAACTGCGCCAAGACATTGTGGTCCACCATAAATATCAGTAAAACTAAGACCCGAACTGAGGGAACCTTTACTGCTCGTTGTACTTAAGCTACCGAGACTTGAGCTACTACTCACTGACAATGTACTTGCGCTGAGTGTTTTTAATTGACCCTCAAGCATTGTCATTGAACGTAATGCATCGCGTAATTGTTGAAGTAAAAGATTTTTCTCTTCATGAAGTCTAACGCGATCAGTTATTGTTTTATTTGATAGCTCAAGTGCATTATTCAGATCTTGTTCTAAACGTTTAATTTCACATTGTATTTTTTTCATATCCTGCTGACTTCTTGATCGTGATGTTATACTTCGTAATTCACGAAGAAGTTGTTCTTTTTCTTGAAATAATAATAATTTATCTTTATCACTTTCAGTTTGTCCTGGTGTTACTTTTTCCTCTAGATCAGCCAATTGTTGTTGAATATGTTGAATACGTTTACGCGCCTCATCATATTGCAATCGCATACGTGCCATTTCAGCAAGTCTTGTACCAATTGGTACAATTTCACCTGAAAGATCAGTTTGCGATGCAGTACTCAATTTTTCTTGTGGTAAACTCAATGTACTTGCATCGGGACTACCCTCACACAATTGTAACCTTGTTAATTCATCTTTTAATTGCGCTAAAGATTGCATTAATTCGGCCTTTTCTTTTTCGCCAGATATTAAAGATTTTTGAATGTTTCTTAATTCAGACATAATTGCTTGCGCTTCCGTAATATTGTAACAACCACCATTATGAGTATTTAGTTTTTGTTCCACACTGCAAAAAATAGAAAGAAAAAAAAACATTTAAGAATCCAATTAAAGAATAATAAAAATTGAAATGTTAACTACACTTTTAAATTTAAATTTTCTACCTTGCCAAAGTATCAACTCCTCGTTGAGTGCAATTCATCTCTGCGCGAATCTGCTCCAATTCTCTTTTCAATCGTGAAACTCGACTCCTGGCAAGTGCCACGTCAGATTTAAGTAGATCTGGATCATATTTGGTGCTCAATGAACTCGAACTAGAACACACTTAATGAAAACAAACAATTATTAATTTTTTTTTAATTATCCATATGAAAAAGCCTATATAATTTACTTATGTATCAGATTATATAATAAAAGAATACTTTATATTTGAAAATAATTATAATTTATTTTAAAAGAACGAACAGTGCAATGTTAAAAGAAACAGTTGATTTCAATTAAAATTACTCTTTAAAATTATTCTTTATAAATTCTGCTCATTGAATTTTGTTAAAAATAATTTATTTACAAAATCAGGATTGCCACATAAATTTTATTTGGTTTTTCCCTGATTTGCAGTCTGAATTTAAATCTGATATTATTTTTTTTTTAATTGTTCAACTCTTTGTTGTTATAAAACATTCAAGAGATCGCTGATCAAGATTTTGAGATCTAATTTCAAAAATTTTCAAAATTGAATTATAAATAAAAATAGGTATATATTGTTCAACTAGAATAGAAACAGTCAATAAATGTAAAAATGAAAGAAAATTTTTTTTTTAGAAGGTTATAAACGCCTTTTGCCGTAAAGTTATGTACATTAAATCGGACATTGATATTGACTCCTGGTTTCATTTCCTGCAACATTGCTATCCGTTACCGTTTGTTGACCCTATTTTCGACACTAAATTTTTAAGGCGTTTTGTCTCCTTTTTTTTGGATAAAGATATACATCAAAGAATAAAATTTATTTATTATGTTTTTATTTATCATCAGTCACAATTAACAAATAATGAAAAACAAATATATAATAAATAGATAAAAATAAAATCAACACTAGAATACTGTAATTTAAGTTAAGTTTTATTTAAATTCAATACTTACAACTGGTTCTAGAAGCACCGAGTGTAGTTAGGGCATTGTTTAGGTGATTATATTCGTCCTGTGCAAGACACAACCTTTGCTGCTTAACATCATAAATTTCCTTCTTCGCCTAAAATCAATGTAAAAAAAACCTAGTTTTAAAATAACGTAAAACATTTATGAGAAAGATTGAATAATAATTTATATTATTATCTACCTATTATTAATTATTATTACTTAGATTAAAATAATAATAAAAAAAGTGAAACTTTTATATTTCAAAGTATCACAATAATTTGCAGCAAAACATTGTTTAAAATTTAAAGAAAACTCGAAAAAAAAAATTATAATACATAATTTTACTTTCAATTTCGTCATACAAACTTGAAAAAATAAATGTACATTTCCTGATATTTAAATGGAAATTTTCGATATAAAATTAACAATTTGAAATATCAATATTTTTGACTCACAATTTAAAAAAAAATTAAGTGGTTCTTTCTTTAACATTAAGAACAAAACTTTCTTTTCAAATCAATTGTATTTAGTTTAAAATATTTAAATGTATAAATATTATATTATAAAAAAATACCAATCTCCTTTGTTCAATTTAGAACAATTCTACGTAACAATAATTAAATTCTCTTAAATTTTTGAATCACTATAATTAGGTTCTTTTTAGAAAAATTTCTGAATATATTTAAAAAATTTATAAATACACATTCAAAAAAAAAGTTATTTAATTAATTAATTTTTTTACTGATCTACATTAAATCACATAATGAAATGTCTATATTGCAAAAACAATTTTACTGATAATAGTAAAAAAAAATATTAAATGATCTAATTTTTTTAAAATATCAATTATTAATATAACATTATAATTGTAATAAAATATCAATTAATTGTATGTTAAAAAACTAAAATAAATCCAAAAACTTAAGAAAAAAAAACGAACCTGAAGTACGCAACATTTATGATAAACGATTTTTAAAGAAATAATTTTTATTAATCAACAAATAATAAAAAAAAAATTATTTTTTTAAGTAAACAATTTTACAATTTTTCGTGTTAGATAAAAATTGATTTCTAATCGTTGACTATAAACGTTGCCTACTTTAGGAATAATTTAAAAATTTAGAAAAACATTAAATTTTTTCTCTTATTATCTAGTTGAACTCCCGGATCAAAGAAAGGAAGATAACTAATGTAATACAAATGGATTATGTGCCCTTCTTTGATCCGGCAGCTCAATTTAAAAAAATTAACATATCATCTTTCTTTGACTTTAATTATTATTTTTAGAATTTCTTTGCTTTTAAGAAAAAAGACGAAAAAAATAACTATTTATATTTAGAAACGTATTTAAATATATTTTTTTATTAATTAAAAAATTATTTCTATATAAATCATAATGATAACTGATCCTTATAAAATTTAGTCAAAATCTTACAAAACTCAATTAGAATACTTTCTTTTAGAATAATTTTATTGAAAAATTATTATTTTTTCCATATGAAATATGTATAAAGATGAAAAGTGGTTAACAATGTGTTTGCAAACAATTTTAAGAATTCTATTTTTGAACTATTCGTTTTAAATTTCTTGCAATAATATTTTTTGTATATTTTTGTATACACTATTAGAAAAAATATAATCTTTTTTAAAAAAAATTATTTAAATTATATTCTTTTAAATCCATTTTTCAATATGAACTTAAATTAAACTCGTTTAAAAAAATAATTACAATTTTTTTAATTAATTTTATTTGTTTAAAATTTGTTCTCTTCCCTTAAGGGAAATAAAATTCTTCCCTCTCTAAACTAAAAAGAGATCTATCATCTATAAGATAATAAATAAATTGTAATTTAGAAACTTTTATTTACTATTATTTAGAATTATTTTTGAAAATATAAGAGTAAAAGAAAGTGATTAAATGCATGTATATACATATATACATTATGTATACTAATTTGCTTGCTTCATCGTCTCCTTGCCCTCCATATATATGTCCATATATAGAAAAAACTTGGACTCAAATTAATCACCATTCATTTTGAGCTGCAGCAAAAATAATGCCACTTTAATTAATTCTGAATTTTAGACAAAAAGTTTCGAATTCAATTTAAGTTCAAGATTAAAGTGTAAATTATAATGAAAAAATAAATAATTATCTACAAAATTACGAAATAAAATAATTTAAACATATCTCTATATTAAGTTCTTGAACATAAAATATTAGAAAAATAATGCTATTTCTCAATTGCAATTCACAAAATTAAATAGCAAAATTTTTAGGTTTAGATTCTTTTGAATTAAAGAGTACCAACCGTGAAACGCAAACCTACATATAATGGCGGTAAATTAAAAATTTTTCGAAATAAATGTTTATAAATAGAAGTTTTTATTATAATATTTATAAATTATATCAAAAAATAAAATTTAACAAGCAATATAATATTAATTATATATTAATATTTTCTCTATATTGATATAAATTATAAATAAATAAAATCAAGTTGTGCTAGAAAAATAAGCGTGAAAAAAAAAATTTATTTGATTCAAATATTCGTTTACTTGACTATTATCAAGTAAATATTTACTTGAACCAAAAAATTTTTTATTTTTATTAAACAAATTGTGTATTTAAAAAAATAATTTCTGTATTTAAAATAAATACCATTTAATTGATTGAAATAATAACTATTTGTTACAAATAAATATTTATTTGATAATAGTCAAGTAATCGATTATTTGAATCAAATAAATTTTTTTTTGTCAGTGTATTACAATCTAAAACATATTACTTAACAGTCTTTCTCTAAGTAAACAAAAAGAAAAAATCGAAATGAAACACGTCACGATTCGTGACGACACACAAAAATTCGTTACTAAACTTTGTTTTTAAATTTTCCATTAGAATTTTATTTTAATCTATTCAGAAATATTTATTTATTATTTAAAAACTAATGATGTATTCCGTTTTTAATATATTGGTTTAAATAATTATAAAAATTATTATTTTCTCAGAACTAATGTTAAAGTTATGTATTTATATATATATATATATATATGTAATTTTAATGTTTAATAATTAAAAATTATTTTAGAATTTCTTTGCATACAATGTTTCTTACATATATATATGTATATCTTTACTTCCTGATCTTTATTTAATTTGTTCAGTATTGTTTTTAATGCATGAATATTTATTTTAAATTCTCTCCTTACATGTTACACGTGACATGGAAACGCATATATAATTGACACTACGACGAAAGCAAATTAATATAATTAATCAACTAATTAATTATTAATTAATTTAATTACACTCAAGGAATCTTTCATGATTTTTTCCCAGTTTTAATTTTAAGATTAATTATTACAGTAATTTATCTAATTTTTGTTTAATAATGTCAAAGTATACAAAACACATACAAGATGATCAGCACTAATTTCAAAGTATCAAATTGATACAAATCATATCAATTTGATATTTTTATATTAGTGTGATTTTAAATACTTTAAATGAAAATAAATTTTTATTTTCCAATAAAATACCTTGCCTTTAAAAACTAAACTAATTAAAATAATTGATTATTAATATTACATTATTGTAATTAACTTTATTTTTTCATTTATATAGTACTTCGTACAAAAAGGGCATTTTAAAAAAAAATTTTATTATTAAAAAATAAATAAAAATATGTGTTTTATAAGCTCTGCAATTTAAATATAAATAAATATTAGTAATCCATCCCGAGTCGTAATTTTAATACTCTATTACGAGGGGGAATTTACTCAGGTAGTCAAGTGTACACTCTTCCTGTAATACTTGTGTAATAACGTGTAATACCGTGTAATAATGCGTTATTACGGTGCTGTAATAACGCAAAAAACTCTGTAATATCTCTGTAATAATGTGTAATACTCTGTAATAACGTGTAATAACTTAGTAATAATGGTAACATTAGGTGTAATACCGGTAGTCAAGTGTACACGTTTTTAACTAGTAAATTCCCCCTCGCTCTATTAGGTCTCTAAAAAACCTCGCAATAGAGATCTAGTACAGAATAAATAGAGGACAATGCTACAATGTAATTCAAATCTTCTTTCTATCCTCAAAACGTGAGCAAATTTCCAAATCTGCAAGTTTTGAGGATAGAAAGAGGATTAAAATTAAGAGGATTAATAGAGACTTTAATAAGAAATATATAAAAATCGAGAAGACTAAAAGAGGATGAAAATCCGACACACAAATTTTATTGAAAAAGCACAGAGGATAAACTGAGGACTTATTATGAATAAAGGAGAATTAAAAGAGGATGCTGAGAACTAATTAGTTAGAGTATTCAATCAGCAATAGGGAGAATTGATCGAGTATTAAAATTTCGACTCGGGATTGGGTTAAAATTTAAAAAAAAATTTAATTATTAATTGAAAATAAATGAACTTTAATCTTATCCAAAGATCTTATAGTATACATAGTTAAATTATATATTTTTTTAATACTTGGGCTAGAAAATATGCAACTTGGTTAATTGTTTTAGACTCTGAATTATTTAAAATTGTCAGCCAATGGTTAATTATTTCCCCTAAGTTGTTTAGTTTTATTATATATTTTTTCCGATTCAAGTCTAAAGAATAACATTCTATTAGTATGTGAAAAATATATTCAATATTATATCTAATTTTTAAAAACAATAGTTACAATATTCATTCTCTTTAAGGGAGCAATATTCTTTTCTCCAGAATATCCTATAGTTTGGAATTTATTAATCATTGTACAAATGTACAAATAGTTTCAAATTGTTGAGTATATGAATCTCTAATTTATCAGAAGTATAGCGGAATTCAAAAATTCCACAGATCAAAATTTAAATTAATGTGAAGTGCTCCAAATATTAACATATTTAAAAAAAAACACAACTTATAAGAAAGAGATAACAAAGAAAAATGATAAACATTACCAAATGATGAACCGTATTCCTAACGTTTAAATTCGGATAACCAACAATCACAAACAATAATAATAATAATAATAACATTATTCTCACAAATAGAATACTGAACACACTAAAAACTAGAAAGAAAAAAAAACCTACATATTCACAGTAGTAGTAAGCAGTA